TATATATATACTTTGTTCTAAAATATATGCTTTGTTTTTGTTGTTGTACAAATAGTCCCTGTTCAGGCGTATGCATTTTCCATTGGTACAGCGAAGCAGGATAATCGAAGCTGCATGGAACTGTGGATTCTGTTTTGGTAGTATATGTTACATGAAATCATCGACCATGCAAATCTTGAGCTTTGCATCCCACGAACAGGAAATGACATACCAGGAATTAGGAATTGCATTACATAAGAGCTTTTACTTTCATCAAGCAGGAATTGATATACTGTGTTATGGTGCTTGGATAAAGGGTTGCGCAAACTTGCTTTTTGCGTCTTTTGTCTTGAATCCATATCAACAAAAGTAAACCTCTTAGTTAAAACTTTTTTATTGTAGACACATCTTCCTTCATTTTTTGTACAGTTTTTATTTGCTTAATCTTTATTTTTTTCTCTTGTCAAGTAGAAAACTGTTTTGGAAGTTGTTTTTAGCAAAGATGTAGTATAATATAGTGAACTATTTCCTTATTCAGTGTTGACAAATAACAAGAATGTAATGATTTACAATATTACATTGTGTCTTTGCTGGAAAACGCCTTATGTAAACTGTTAAACATTCTTGATTTTTAATTTATAACATTAAATTGACGTTTTTGTATATTAATGTTTTATAATGTATATATATATATATATATATATATATATAAAATATATGTATTTTGGACTGCGATAGGTGGTGTACAGTTACAAGTACTTTTTTAATGTATAAAACTATTGACATTGTGATAGTTAGTGTCTGTCAGATCTTGGTGTGCATTTTTCAAACTATTGGGAGACCAGTCTCTAAACTGTTATTCCTGTTACACTGCCTGACTTGGTTAGTAAATATTATATTTTTAATTTATTATCAAATTATTATGTAACAAAAATTATATTTTGATTTTTTTAGGATATATTTATATTTACATTATGTGCCTACATTTATACTTTGGTCAGAAGAAGTTAAATATACAAGGACAGAACCTGGCTTATGGTTTTGGTTTGCAGTAGAATGTTTAGATTCGGTAAGAATAAATATCTTGTATATATAAAAAAAGCATAGGAACTAAGACTTAAATAATTTATAAAATTAATATAATAAAAATAGGGCTATGAGTTAAGCAAGGTCTTCATATTAAGTTATTGCAAAAACAAATAGTTTACCATAATAAATGTTTCGCGACCCCTATTGGGTCATTATCAATATTAATCTTAATAACAATATAAAAATTACATATTTATTTGAAAAATGATCTTAAACAAGACATTCAACACAACAAAAGAATATAAAAGTTTCATCAATTCTATAAGTATTCCTATCGTTTTAGATGATTGTGAGAATTGCTCAATATCAAAACGTGAAAACGCAGCAATAGTTTTACTCACTGTATAAACATGACATTGTGAATGAATAACAAATGCTTGGTTCAACAGTTCTTGTAACATTTCTTGTATCATCATGACTCTTATAAAGCGCAGTCTCAAAAGCTGGAGTTACAATCAATGATAAATCAATGCAATAAATCAGTGTTTAGTTTAAAATCACAATTACAAACGGCTTTGAATAATAATTTAACAAACATAAAAATAAATGTATATCGTGAAATATAGAAATTTATAAAATATAAAATGTACATATATTCGAAATTATCAAGAACTAGTTATAGAAATGACATATAAATTTGTGAGTCTAATAATATAATGATTATAAGATTACAAATTAAAAAAACAAATTACACATATAAAAATGTATATCGCAAAGTAAAAAGTTGTTATAAAGTTTAAAATTAGAATATTAGAAAAACGATTAAAATTACATATCGGACAGTCAAAATATAAAATAAAAAATCCGTATAACAAATCAAACTAACTAAAACTCCTTATAAATCAAAAAACTGGAAAGGATACAGGTAGTAGGAGTCAAGCGCAGAAGACGTCGCGCAAATAATATATCTATGAAGTGTGAATATATCTTTTATTGTAAGATGGTTCAGTATCTAATATTTTAACTTTCTCCTAATCAAAATTATAATTAAATTTCATGCGATGGTCTGAAATAATCGAAGGAGAACCCGTTTTTTTATTTGTAATTTTATAATCATATTATACACTGAATTATTTGGGCATTTGAAAAATTTAGTTTTGACCGTCATAGGCTTGCATATGCTTATACTTGAGTGTTTGATTTCATGTCGGTCCTAATAAATCTTATTATTGTATATTATTAGATTCACAAATACGTCATTTCTATAACTAGTTCTTCATAATTTCAAATATACATATGTGTTTTATAATTTTATAAATTTCTGTATTTCACGATATACATTTATTTTTATGTTTGTTAAATTATTATTCATAAGGTTATTTGTAATTGTGATTTTAGACACTGATTTATTGGTTTATCATTGATTGTAATTCCAAGCTTTTGAGACTGCGTTTTATAAGAATCATGTTACAAGAATCGTTGACGACCACCAAGCGTTTGTTATTCATCCACATTGTTATGTTTATACACCGAGAAAGGCTATTGCTGCGTTTTCACGTTTTGATATGCTCACGTTGTGAGCAATTCTCACAACCATCTAAAACGATAGGAGTACTTACACAATTCATGAAACTTTAATTTTCTTTTTAAGTTGTGTTGAATGTCTTATTTAAGATTATTTTTCAAATATGTGATTTTTATATTGTTATTAAGATTAACATTGATAATGACCTAATAGGGGTCGAAACGTTTGTTACAATAAACTATTTATTTTTGCAATAACTTAACATGAAGACTTTGCTTGTAGTTCTGTATATATGTGATTTAAATAAATATTACAAACAATGTTAATTTTTGTACATTATATACGTGTATATGTATGTATATAAATGTTATTTGTTAATGAAAATATACAATTAGATATGGATAAGACTGATTGGACATGCGAAAGCTACACATTGGCTCGAAATTTGTCTCTTTCCACCACCGACGCAGGAAGCCATTGAATTAGCTGGCATTCATAAAAGGCATAAAGAATCTTTGAGGAAGAGTAATATCAAAACA